ATAGGATAATATTTTAATACCTTGCTCTCACTGGTGAACGGTGCAATTTATTTATTTTTATTAAAATAATTTTTAAAGTAATTTAAATTATATGGTAAAATCCTGCATGCTTTATACAACATTAGGAAGATTAGGCCCTTTCTTTCAGGAGCATGCTACACAACTCCTGGTTCAAGCTCTTGTTCTGTCTAGACTGGACTATTACAACGGTGAACGGTGCATTATAGTGCCATTCCAAAGAGGCACAAAATTACTTTCACTGACTTTTACCTTAACTGTTCCCTCCTGGTGGAATGACCTGCCCAACTCAATCCGGGTCCTTAGCCGTCTTAAAGAAACGGCTAAAAAACACATCTCTTCCATCTGCACATGACCCTCTAGCACTCTCTATTCTAGCAACTTTTTTTTCTTTCTATTTAAAAAAAACACACCTCTTCCATCTGCACATGACCCTCTAGCACTCTCTATTCTAGCAACTTTTTTTTCTTTCTATTTAAAAAAAAAAGCAAACAAAAAAAAAACCAAAACAAATTGACCCACTAACACTAGCGTTCCCTATTCTTTTTCTATTCTATCTACTGGTTTTCTTTTTATTTATTTATAAAACAATTGACCCTCTAATACTAGCATTCTCTATTCTTTCGACTTGTTTTTTTTTATTATTATTACCCTCTGACACTAGCGTTCTTCATTCTTTTTCTATTCTATCTACTTGTTTTCTTTTTTTTATTATAAAAAAAACGTTGCTTCTTGTACTGCATTAGACTAACCGAGACTTGTCACAGCACTTACATATTATTGCTTCTATTGTCTTCATTTGTAAATCGCTTTGGATTACAGCGTCTGCTATATGACTAAACGCAAATATAAAATGAACAAAAAATAATTTATTAAAAATATTACCACATGCGCTTCCATATTTAATGTTTTTAAATCAAGGCTCTCGCTCACAAAGGCTGCATTTATTTGATCAAAAATACAGTAAAACAGTAATATTGTTATTACAATTTAAAATAACTTCTATTTGAATATATTACATATTGGAAACTGTGATGCATTTTTTTCAGGATTCCTTGATTAATAAAAAAAGTTAAAAAGAACAGCATTTATTTGAAATAGAAATTTTTTGTAACATTATAAATGTCTTGTTTTAGTCAGTTGGCCACTCGCATCTTAATTTGATCCATTCAGTCGCTTTGATCATCATGTACCCACCTTCATGTCGCTTGAAACTTCTACGACTTTTTTGTCTGTGGAACACAAACAGAGTTATTATCATAACATCAAAGCTTCTTTTATACATACAATGAAAATGCATCCTGGTCACTGTCAAGTTCAGCTGTAATTTTGCTTGGTTTAAAAAAACATCATGTTCAAACAAGATGTGAACCCGTGACCCCTTGCATGCTAAATAAAAACCAATATACCACGAGACTAACACATCCTAAGCTCTATGACTTACTTTCTTCTACGATTAGTTTTTTTTACAAGCATGCAGCTTTACATTTCATAACATGTTAATTGATGGACTGGAATTGTGCGGTTTACTTGTGGATTATTGTGATGTTGTCGCCATTCTGACGGCACCCATTCACTGAAGAGGATCCATTGGTGAACAAGCAATGCAAATTTCTCCAAATCTGTTCTAATGAAGAAACCAACTCATCTAGACCTTGGATGGCCTGAGGGTGAGTAAATTCTCAGCAGATTTTAATTTTTTGGGCAAACTCCTCCTTTAAGCTTAGTCTAAAAAGAGAGTTTAGAAAGCGCACAGGTTGGCTTGTCACTCCAAACACTATACCAGGGCCGTCCTTTCCAAACAGGTCATCTGATGCTGACCAATTGGACTGTGTGGTGTGTCTCACGCAGCGAGGACACAGTACACACTCAATGCTCGTTTCCCACAGACAGTCCGGCTGGTCCGTCTTCATTTGCACGAACAGCATGCATCTAATCCGTTCCATTATTTATGCTGCTATATTGACCCGCTTGTCTCCTCGTCCTGATGGGAGAGATTACTCTACCTGTTTGTCCGACTGGATCAGCATGAGGAATCATAACCAGCTTCATTATCTGTCCTCATCAGACTCGGCCAACAAATGGCATTCGTCATAGCAGATAACACCTCATAGGTCAGGATGCAGAGAGACGTTTTCCCATTGCTGATCATCACACTCCATATGTTGCACTTCTACATTTAGGTCTTTGCTAAGGCTGCTTCTCAAAAATATCATAGACCTTTTGCTATATTGGTCTCTAGACAGGTGGTCAGACCTGTGGAAAGGAGTGAAAACTGGCAAGTGTCCCAACACAGAGTCCAAGTGTGCTGACAGGATGGGGGGGTTTGCTTTGCTGAGCATGTCCAAAATCCCGTTGACCGGAAATTCAAAGAAACCAGACACCTTACAGTGCACATTTTACTTACATAAGCACCAGACTGCACAGAAAGACAAAAAAATAAGCCTTCAAGAATTCAAATGTTATTAAATACAAAATTCAGCAAAATTATAAAATGTTTAAAATATTAGACAAGCTCCATAATTGGTCAATTTTGCATCTAATTTAACCGCAAAACTGTCCAACTCCAATAATAAATTGCACAGTCGTTTCATTTTAAATTCAGCTGATGTGTTTATCCATGAAGTGCTTTCAGCTGTGAACCATTCGATCTATTTGTTGTGGCCACAACAAATTATTGATGCGCTGAAGCTCATCAGTGCAAATGTGGTGATAACTTGCAAATGATAAGGTGATATAATGGCATTAGGATACTGCAGACATTTATTTACATTTACCTTTATAAAAGCAATAAAATTGAGTCCATTGTATAGTTGCATCTAAAGGCTGAAAACCTCTGTCTGTCATTATTCACAATATCACATCTTCAATTATTTTATTACTTAAGTTTTGTTCAATATATTCAGATTGAGGGGTCATGCACAACTTGACTATGAACCAGTGATATTTTGACATTATTTATGTACTAGTATTTATTAATTTGAATGAGCTTTTATTTGTATATTTTCACTTCATTTTAAGTTTTGGTAATTTTGCTATGTGCTTTTGTAATTTTTACTTTTTTTTCCCCATTATATTCAGTTAGAGGGGTTGTGCACAACTTCAAATGTTCTGATTTTGTATGAACCAGTGCTATTTTAGCATTATTTATTATATACAAGTATTTATTAATAATTTGAATGAGCTTTTAAAGTTTATTTAATGTAATTTGTAATGTGATTGTGTTTTTAAATATTTTTATATAAAAATATTTTTATTTCAGTATTATATTTAATAAAAAATTTATAAATATTTAAATATTGTAGCAAGTTTTGCACTTTAACGTTTTTAGTTCAGATCTAATTTTCTATTTGTCTAATTCTCATTTAAATTTTGATCTAATATTTATATTTTATTTCAGCAATTTATTCAGAAAATACTTTTTGATAGTTTTAGCTTTAGTTAACAATAACAACACTGGTATGAACCTGATATATGTTTGGACTGTGGATTACAAACACTATACATACACAGAATAAGCTCTAAAAGCAAAGCTTTTACATATTAGACCAAGCTTTGCTTTTTGGATCCTAAACAGTATCTAAACGCAGCATTTTGCTGTTTTTGTTCCAGTAAGCACCACATGGAGGCAGACCATTTTGAGGCGCAAATACACTTGCCTAAAACCAGCTTACAATGACTTCACCCATTATATAAAAGCACTACATGATCATGGGCACAATACCAATCAGCAGACACACAGCACAAAGCTTATTGTTGATGCTGGTAGTTGAAGTGGAGTATTACACAAACAAATATTTTACCTCTGAGAGACATTACAACAACAAATTTACCCTTATAGCAACAGAGTGTTTGTCTCTCACTAGGGGAACATTTTGTAAGATAACCTTGTTTACAGTGGAATATTTTTTCAGACCTGGTATGAATCATTTTACACACTCCTACAACCCTACACAAGTTGCATAATTTAAATATAACAGCCTAGTGTAAATTGTTTACAGGAAAAAAAACAATGCTAATTGCAAATGATAAAATGTCACAGCGCACATAATCATGTACATTTAAAATAAATGCAAAATAAACAGGATTATCAACTTTTAATATGGAGAAGAAATACTTCCCATATCTTTTGATGATGACGTCAAAGGCTGCGTGTCCCATCAAACTCTATTCAAATTCACTTTGTAGAAGTAGAGCAAATTTGACAGACGTGAAACATGAACAAGATTAACAAAATGGCCTGATTCTCAAAAGTTATGAACAAAATTATCTAAGGTAAAAAGACAGACCAAAGTACATTAAAGGAATAGTCCACCTAAAAATTCTAAATTTGATGAAAATGTCCTCAACCTCAGGCCATTCGAGATGTAGATGAGTTTGTTTCTTCATCAGAGAACAGATTTGGAGAAATTTAGCATTACATCACTCACCAATGGATCCTCTGCAGTGAATGGGTGCCGTCAGAATGAGAGTCCAAACAGCTGATAAAAACATCACAATAATCCACAAGTAATCATATTTGTTTAGAACTGTTTTGACTTGTAAATGGAGCTTGATCTTTGTATATTTCTCTGCTGATTCAGATGAGAAAATGTTTTTACGGGAAAAAGCAATATTATGGATAGACATTAATGATAGATTTGTTTCTTACAAACACACAGCTTCTCACAGATGTTAATTGATGGACTGGAGTCATGTGGATTACTGTGATGTTTTTATCAGCTGTTTGGACTCTGATTCTGACGGCACCCATTCACTTCAGAGGATCCATTGGTGAGCAAGTGATGTAATGCTATATTAATTTCTCTAAACCTGTTCTAATGAATAAATTAACTCATCTTGGATAGCCTGTACATTTTCAGCATGGGTTTGATACTGTTGGGTCACCGCTTGATGTCAAATGTTGAGTGTTGAAGCAAAACAAGTTAAGGAACACAACTCATGATGAGTGCACAATAAAAAAAGAGAGAATTTCGCAGGTATTGATCTAAGAATATTTAATTGGAAAAGTCCGTTTCAAAAATACAAGGCAAATCCAGGGTAAGTGGTGCTTACAGCTCACCGAGTCGGTTATCGTGGCCTTCTCACAATTGCAATAAATAACTACTATAGCACAGACATTGATTTCACCTCTTCAAAATCCATCAGTGAAACACGCTCATAATACCATGACCAAGTAAAGCAGAACACATTTAAGCTGTACTGAGTGATGGTTCAGTGTTTCCATTTTCTCGATCATGTGGGGTGGAAACTAAAGCGGTTAAGACTTTGAGTATTATAGCCAGTATGTTCCTCTATTAATATGAGTAAGCAAATTAACAAGAACATACTGGACCTATGGAATTAACATATGCATGTGCACAAAAGTCATTACAAATTATCTATCTACTACAATAACAATGTTCAACATTGCAAAAAATGCACACTTGGCAACTTAACACTATTCGCACAAAACAAGAAAAAAAATTATAAGCGCAACAACAAAAAATTTGGCAAAACAAAAAAATAAGAAGGTTTTAACTGAAATGGCACATTATTCAGTGCTAAAATTATGGACCTGATGCCGTTAGTACTTTTTAAAAATAGCAGGAAAGAAGCGATACATGATTACAAATAATAAAAACTGCAACTTAGTGCACGAGTATGTGGCTTAAACCAAGCTGACAGATAACTGAGCAAATGGCACGCCGAAATTATTTCAACAAACATCCACAAATGAATGCATAAGATATTAAAACACTATATCCATGAGTAATACTAAGCTTCAAAGGAAATGAAAAACTTAAAAAGTCCAGTGAGAATAGCGAGAGTTTAAATAAGAATGGAAAAGAATCTGTAAATTGGTGAACGCCGACCCTGTCACGGTAAAGACTATGTACAACAGGAGGGCTGCAGTCCATCGGCAGGGGGAATCCTCCCAATCACATGGCTCAGTTACACACAGTTCAACAAGTGTTTTTTAAATATTCACGCTCTGGGTCTAATTCCTAAACTAATATCCCATAGGCTGGACTGGTCACCTCATCGAGACGGACTTCTTAAAGCATTGCACAAAACACAGGTGATTTTCAGGTCTGCACTGATTCAAAGCGGACATGGATGCGGTTTTCCTGGGAGATACATGACAGAATTTCACCCTGACTAACTGATACTAAACATTAACATAGTTTATGTGGGTTAACTTTCCGTTACACTGAAACTACAGGGACCATTTCGGCACTATATACCTAGTTATGTGTACATAAGTGAGCTGACCATGTCACAAGAAACTGAGGCTATGAACATGCAGACACCGATGGCTTTACATTGTAGATTTTCGTTTTGCATACAGAAAACAGGAAGAGTTTCTCACATCAAGGATGGGGGAAGTGCCAGAACGAGCATCCTATCATACATGATACCTCCTCCTGCTGGTTTAAATTAGCCCTCTGCAGACGTTGTGTGGAAAATGGGTCATCAAAATAGATGTGTTTGTATGTGCGGTGTGGTGCGTTATCTAGTGTGTTTTGAACCGGGTGTGCAGATGTGAGTTTGTTGTGGGGATCAGTGGTTGTGTTCTACGTTTAATGCTTTAATTGTCTCTTGGTGCGCTCCACTCTACCTGTGCAAAAGGGAACTGGAATAGCTGGACTAGTCTAAACATAGTTTAGGACAGACGGTCTGAGGGACTATAAGAAAGCACTGTCATACATGATCCTCCTGCTGGTTTAAATTAGCCCTCTGCAGACCTTGTGTGGAAAATGGGTCATCAAAATAGATGTGTTTGTATGTGCGGTGTGGTGCGTTATCTAGTGTGTTTTAAACCGGGTGTGCAGATGTGAGTTTGTTGTGGGGATCAGTGGTTGTGTTCTACGTTTAATGCTTTAATTGTCTCTTGGTGCGCTCCACTCTACCTGTGCAAAAGGGAACTGGAATAGCTGGACTAGTCTAAACATAGTTTAGGACAGACGGTCTGAGGGACTATAAGAAAGCACTGGGGTTCGCCCTCGGGTCCTTTTGGTTCCTGTAGCGCATGGCCAGCCAAACTCCTAAGATCTGAGAGAAAGGACAAAAATATTGATTATAAACAAAATACTGGAGTATAATAGCTGCAATAAGCAAAAAGCCATTCAAGTCCATGTGCTAAAGTGATTCCATCATTTAAGGCAAATTAACACTTGAATGCGTGGCTGAAAGTGACATATTTATATATAAGCAATATGATACAACAGATCAATGTTCAATATTAAAGGGGTCATATGATGCGATTTCAAGTTTTCCTTTCTCTTTGGAGTGTTACAAGCTGATTGTGCATAGATAAGATCCCTGAAGTTGCAAAGACTAAAGTCTCAAAACCAAAGAGATATTCTTTATCAAAGTTAAGACTCTGCCACGCCCCCCTAAAATGGCTCGTTCTAACACGCCCCCACATATCTACCTCACTATGTGGAAATATTGCATAATGCGCACAAAATTTGCACGCAAAGAAAGAAGGCGTGGTTTCAGTAACCGCAGTTAGTGTTGAAGCAGCCATGTCAAGGAGACGCTGTGTGTTTCATTTTCCTAAAGTAATATTATATTCTAAATGAATAAATGTATTCTGCTAAACAAATAAAAAAAAATTTGTTAATTTAAACAAAGCCAAAAAAAAAAAAAAAAAACTTAAAACATAAACCAAAAATAATTTGTTGCCTTGGCAACTAACTGAAATAAGTACTAAAATGACTAAGACAGAAAATAAAAAATAAAGATAAATATAAAAAACTAATGAAAAATACAGAAGCACAGAACAAAATTACTAAAACTTAAACTAAGATGAAAATAAAACAGAAAATATAAAATAAAAGCTAACTCAAATTATTAATAAATCCAATAACAACAGTTCGTTACTGAAGGACTTGACTCAACATAAAATTCAACTAATGTACAGTCTCATGTCTGTATATTTTACAACAACTCTGAATGTGATTAATTCAATCTGATTTTAATTTAAGAACTGTTTTCAAATGAATATTTTTTCTTTAAGTCCTCCTGAGAAGTTACAAGTCTCAAAGTCATACAATGTCATGTACTTGAGTATGTGGGATCTTGTTTTTTTTCTCTTTTTCACTTAATTACAACCACAGCCGTTTTTTTGTTGTTGCAACAAAATGAAGAGTAAAGGATGGAAAGGAGCTCTAAATGTGGAACTGATACTTTATATGTATTTCATCTTTCTAATGATGGGAAATGTAGTAGATCACATTCTTAATTACAACTAGGGCTGCACGATAAATCGCATGCGATATTTAACGCGCATCTTGTCAGAAAACCAATGATGTGGATGCTGGAGACAATGCCAAAGCCTTTCCCCCATGCTGCTACGACAATCAACAGGAGACCCACCAGCTGAGGATGAAAAAAGACCAATCAGAAACATGTCACAACCTTTTGCTATACATAAAATTGTATTAAAAATAACAATATATTGTTGTGCTTAAAGTGGCACTGAAATGGTGCATACAGCATAGTTTACTTCCATAATATGACATTTTCAAGTTAAACAGGATATTTAAAGGCAGAGTAAGTGATTTTTCAAAAACACTTTAGAAAAGAAAAATTAAGGAGGAACTGAATTTTATTGATTAAAAGTAATTATTAAAATAAATAAATACAAACAAGCAATAAAAACACTATACTGGCACTGTTACAAAAAAACCTTTCATTTTACTGAATTAATTTGTTTTTCATTTTTAAACTTTCAATTTAACTTTTTTCAATTAAAATGTTTCCATAGAATTGACTGAAAAATAAAAAAAAAACGAAATAAAAAATAAAAACAAACCAAACTAAATAAAACAAATTAAATCCAACCAAAATAAAGTAAAAAATTGACTGGAAAACAAACAAAAAAAAGACCCCAAAACAAAACCAATCCAAATTAAACAAAACAAAAGGAAATAAATATTTAAAAAATAAATAAATAAAACAAAAGCCAAACCAAACAAAACAAAATTAAATAAATTTAATTTAAATGAAATATAAAATATATACACTGCAAATATCAAAAGATGCTCTTTGTTTCCAGATGGTGTAGTTAGAACTCCAGCAGTGGCTAACCATAACATGTTAACCAAACGCTAGCTGGGCATGGTCTCCACATGACCATGTAGTTGGAGAGAATGTAGTTAGCTAGAAAAGGACTTGAAAAAAATAACAAGACAAACAATGCACTGATGAATCATTCACAATAAGGCTAATAGAGTAAATAGGGTCAATTTTTATTTCATGTTGACTTTAAGTGAGGCCTACAGTTGTTAAAACTATGGGAATTTTGCAGTGCCTAAAGACGACTATTGCGTTTAAATTCATTACAACTACTGTGACAGAGACATGAAGCACAACTCACATGCTGTTATGCATCTAAAATGTGTATAACTAACTACAGATCATTTCTATAAGCTAAACTGTGACTAGGGTCAATCTACAGTTCAAGGTTTTGTCTGGAATCTATATAACCCAAAGCAAAGGGCAGCAAGATAAAGATTGTAGGTCCAGAGAGCAACATGTGTATCAACATAACCTTACCGAACAGCATTACTGTCACGGGCAGCATATCACGGGCCAAACCCAAAGCCAACCGAATAATGTGCACACAGTCTCTCCTTAAATGGCAGCATGAGGGGTATGATTATGGCGTTATGGAGAACATTGCAAAACCAAACACACCACAATGTGGTCCAAGTGGTGATGGCCCTGACATTTCCGTTCAAAACCCATATTTAATCATTACATTTACAGTACACTCATTACAAAAGCAGTCCCTATGGACAACCTGAGGTGAAGCTTTTTTACCTTTAAGGTTTTTAACCTTTGGGTTACTAGCACAGATCTTTAACCACTAGACTACACCACCCACAGTCATTTAGCAATGCAACTTCATTTAAAGCTCTGACTGAGTGCAAAGTCCTTTATTTTTGGCTAAGTGTGACTGTGACACCATGATCTTAACCCAGTATTGTCATCACTCGTGTGAGTCAGAGGCATTAGCGGAAGTATGATCAGTGACTCAGTCCTGTATATATCATATTAAGCAAGCATGCATACTAACTCAACAATATTTGACACGACATTTGAGTTTTGACAGACACATTCATGAAGCTGCCAGACCAACATCTTCCAGGGTAATCAATAGTGAAATAGACACACCTACATATATATTTGGGGAAATTTAAAAATACACTTATTCAAAGAGAAAACGAGTAATTAAAAACAGATTACACAAACATAGGGGCGGTTATGCAACACTGGATGGCGAAATACATGATGATCCGACGATAGCTGCTCGCATCTCAGCATGTCTAACAGACATTTCTTGTTGGATGACGGACCATCACCTTCAACTCAACCTGGCTAAGACAGAAATGCTTGTGGTTTCAACAAACCCATCACTTTATCAAAATTTCACCATCCAGTTAGGCTCATCAACCATAACTCCTTCAAAAACAACTAGAAACCTTGGAGTTGTGATTGAAGATAAGCTGAATTTCTCAGACCACATTGCTAACAAACAAAAAAAAATTAATATTAACACCCCAAACCTATGTTTCTATTCCCTTTAAAAAAAAGGTTTTGTTTAACTAGTACCGCCTATGAAGATAAGGAGCTAGCTGATTCATCTACTGATAGCTATAAAACAAAGACCTCACCTCTATGACCCAACATCAGACACCTTTATATTGAATATAAATACAGTAAAATGTTCATAACACGCCTTAAATCCAGTACAAATTATGAAATAAAGTGAACTAATGTTTTAAGTATGTATACCGGATTAGCCGCTGCTAACGGGCTAAGTTAGCTGAGTTAAATATTCATGTTTGTGCGACTCACCATATAAACTACATTTAGCGAACAGAGGGCGTTTTTCGAGCACGTAAATCCGCCACAAACCATGTTGAATCTTCGGGCATTTACCGGTGAGATGAAATGATGTGCTACAGATGTTGTTTTCGCTGCTGTGAGTATGCTATAAACTGCTCTTCTTCGCTTGTGGTGAGCAATATTATGAATCGTTCATTGGAATCGAATCTTTTCTATGAATCAACTGAACCAGTACGCAAAACTGAATCGTTCCTAGCACGTGGTCCAGGGCTGCATTTCTCAGCCACCAATGCGATGCTTTTGAGAAACGCAGCCCAGATCTTGAGTCAGCGACTAAATGAAATTGAGCATTGTTTAATGCCAATGTACATTATATTTTGGTTCTAAATAACTATATGTTTCAATAGCTGAATCGCGGCTGCAACAAACTGACCTAAGAGAAATGAAATTACCATTAACTACTCTTGTTAATTAAACTGAAATAAAATATAATAAACAGAAATGTGTTCCTCCACACAGAAACGTTTTTAGAGGATGTTATGGAACTACGTGATGACGCAAGTAGGTAAAGGAATCACTAAATCCTTTCGTTTTAATTGATTCTTTTTACATGAACAGTTCGAAAGAGAAGATTCGCGGAAATCGGTTCCCATCTCTAGCTGAACTAGCCGGTGACGTCAATCCGAACCGCAGTCCCTCTAGTGGCAGAACTTCCGCTCACGCGCTTTGCTTGTAATACACGCGATTAGACGCTAGGAGAGAGAATTTCCTAAAAACATTTTCGTTGACATGAAACCTACTGTATGAAAAACATACAAATCACAGCCAGGGTGTCCAAAACATGAACTCATAATTTAAAACAAAAAAAAAAGAAGGTGGAAAGAATAGAGGTTGCTTCCCTTTCTTGTCTTAATATTTTTTAAATGAAGGAAGTGTCTAAAATTAAATGTATTTTTATGTATTTTTCTTTATCAGTGTTTCATATCACAGCTAAGCCAGTTCACACAGGTCATTAATATCAAGTATAATACCATGTATTACTATTTCCAAAAATGTAAGCGCAAAATTATCGTTCCTTGTCCTCCTTTATTCTCGCGATAGCAAACGCTTCTGCCACCAAACAGCACGCCCGCATTATCATAATGGAGTTCGCTGTTAATTAGCCCACAGAAGCCAACATACTAATTTTATTAAAAAACCTTACGCATATTAAAGAGATGAAGACATAATCAGGGACGGTTTCACAGTAGCCTACATTTGCCCACCTGTTCGCATACATGCATGCTTCATGAATGAGAAGGCACGTATTTTATAGCACATAAAAGCGATCATGCTTAACGTGAATTTGTTTATAATGCTTCTGGATATTACTATGTGTATTGAGATAATACTAAGAGGGCTCTGATTTAACGATTCTAGTAAATAACGAGCCTTCCTTCGCTCCTTGTTTACTGATATTTAACCCAGCGCTGAATTGAAGCTTGTGCTGCTTCAGCATCAATGGCTGAGCGCAGAGTAGCAACAAACTACGTCACACTTCGGCCCGCCCTCTGTCGTCACGGGCGTGTGAGACGCAGGATGCTGCTTTGAGGACTGATGATAAAGACAGACCCATATTCCGAATCAGACACTATGAATAACTGAAGACACTGTGACATTTACATTGAAATACGTTCATGCGAGAAATTCCCATAAATGCCACATATTACTTATACATTAATATTTTATGGAATTGTATAGGGTAGACTGAGGCTAATTGTCACACTTTTCAGTCAGTTGAATGTCAGTTTATTTATAGGCACGTACATTAAAATATTTGTTACAAAATACAGCTACATTTTGACACTAAATGGGATAAGTTGTCACAATGGGAGCCTGTTATATAAAATATAAAAATGAAAAAATCTAAACATTATTTAAGCCAATAACAGATATTATAAATAATAAATTGCATGAAAGTCTGTTTTTTAAATAATAATAATAATAATACAACTTGTAACACAGATATTAATCTGACAAACTGTCTGAATTAAAAAAAAAATTAAATACCCTTGTCTGACAAACAGCATGTGACAATTAGCCCCAATTTATCTTATTAGCATAATAATAATAAGTTGTCATAATAGGAACCTGCTATTATAGCCTTTTATAGGAAATATAAAAAAAGGAAAAAAATATTATTTAGGATAAAAACAGATATCATAATTAATACATTATAATTAAATGATAAATTAAAAACTATTGATTGATTATTATATAATTAAAAATAATATATAACATTAAAACAGCCTACTTTGACATAACCTTTATGACAAATACTGTTGTCTGACAAACCTATTTTGTCAGTTCACAATTCCCTTATTGGTATCATAATATATATATATACTATATATATATATATATATATATATATTGCCATATCAGTACTGAGTTTTTACCATTACAGCTCTAAATCTGAAAATAAATGTGAGTCTGTCTTTTTGAAACCTGATTTGCAGTTTGAAACATAAGTCTTTTTTTTTTTTTTACGGTTGCCTTGAATTTACCACAAAATCCTGTTTGCGAGAAAGCAGCCTATGAGATGGTGACAGTTTATAAAATCAGGAAGTAAATTCAGAGAGAAAGAGAGAGAGGAAATTCATGCAAGCAAATCTACTTCTGCTCTGAGCTGCATACCTAGAGTCTAAACAGCTTTCTGCTTCTGTACGTGACATTGACATGAAAGAACGGGCAGGAAATGCTGATGGGTTACAGGAGAAACTCCATGCAGTTTGAGCAGTCACTTTGGTCTAAATATGAATAGCACAAATAAAGTTACACACTCGACTGCAATTAGAGCTGAGGTGAAAAGACATGCGAGCTTGCAAAACACCGTAAACAAATTTCTCAAACAGCTGGAGAGGGTTGAGGACAGGCAGCTCAGGACAGGACTAAAGGTTTTCCTCCACAGCATTCAAGGTGAGCCTGAGTTCCTTTGAAAGGTCTCGTAAATATCATGAGATTGTTTATTTTGTCCACTAGAACACTTGCTGATAGATTCCCATATGGTTTTGCAAGTTGAGATGTATATTAAGGGTCTTTAGGGGTCTGTACTTACCAAGACTGACTTGCACATAAACAGCACACTGTTTGAATTCAACTCAGTTGGAGCCAGATTCTGATAGTATTTCATATCTAGATCACCCTCAGAAGAAAACAAGTTTACTAGTCGATTGTCAGCTCCTTGTGTAAGTTAAAATGCCTTTCACTGCATTTTCACATGGTTTAACTGCTATTGATTGTTCAGTTTTCAGCAGTATTATGTTTGTTATCTTGAGCTTTGTAATAATGTCATATTGTAAAATGTCCCAAATGTATATTTTAGGGAAGGCAGACAGATAAAAAGGAACATAAATGTTTTAACTCATGTTAAATTGAATTATACATCCAGTAGACGTCTCCAAATGCACACGCTCCTCCATTAGACTGTGATGATGAACTGTTACTACAGTCCGGATGTAGAATCAGAATCATGGATGTTAATTTAAAGAGGCCCAGGTTGAAACATTAGCACCATCTTAGAGACATCGTCATGGTGGCAAGCTTTTGAACACGAAGTGCTGGTCCATTTCCTGTCTGACGCTCTCTTGCTGACCACGAAAGCCACATCCTCTCCATCTCAGGCACCACCTGTCTATAGTGCTGCTCTTACTCTCCGTATCTGACCCAATTATTTTTAGTTTACCATAAGATTACAAATTAAATTTGCTGTTGGGTTTTAAATAATCTGGCATCCATCGAGTAAGACATAAAAGTTCAATTATTTTACGATGCAACATTTATAAATCCTGTTAGGAGTGAGCATTGCCATGTGTGCATATTTTCAGGTCAAGACATATGGGGTCATTGACTAATGCATCTTTAATATAATGTTTGTTGATACTCCTTACAATTTACTTCCTCCACGCACTTCCTCTTGCGAGCGTTTTATGCATTCGTCACTCTAGATTGTAGCTCAATATGAAGACGTTATGAGCATAATCTCACACCTTATTTATCTGTTAGCCAGAACCAAAATTAAAATAAGATATTTATATTATGATATTGTTTCTATCATATAGTCCCTAGGTTAACTCATTTTATAATTTTCCATTTGTTCTCTTGTATTAACCAGCATCACTAATGATGTCTGTAAACAACGTTGCAGAACAGATTAGATGAAATAGTAAAAAACAAGTGGATGCTCTTTGAACATGATTTATGTAGCCCACATAGTCATATGATGATTCAAATTATGCTTGATGGGAATAAAATAAAAGTGAAGGAATCTATAAAGGGGAAGTCGTTGCTGTTGGCTTCTGAGCATAGGGATTTGAGAATAGGACTGACACATTTAAATGTTGCTTACTGCAGGGAGCCAAGCGAGTGGGAGACAGGCAGAGTGACAGCGATTTAGGGAAGAGAGAGAAAGGGAAAACATATTTCTGAGTGCGAGATCTCCAAGACAGATGTCGACCGTGAAATTTTAGCACAGAGAATATTTAGCAGGACAATAACATACAATAAAATTAAACAAACTATAGTGTTTTGAATTTTCTGATAAAAATGTGAGTGGTGTTTGCCTGTGGCTGCCAGGATGTTGCTATGTGGTTAATAAGGTATTCTGAGAGGTTTCTAGCGTGTTGCTATGCGGTTGCTAAGGTCTTGTGGTTGGTTGCTAGGGTAATTTCTTTCATAATTTACTCATGCCATTCCAAACCTGCGTGCATTTTGTTTTTCTGTGGAATACAAAATCATTTCGAAAAACATTTCAGTGGTTTTTTGGGGGAATTTTGGGTGAACTGTCCCTTTAAGTGTTTTGTTAAAATCCCTTAACTAGGAGCAATAGTAATAGTGACTAATCCACTAATAAATAGAGAAGCAAATCAATAAAAAAAAAATTTCAATGAGAGACTTTAGACACAAATAACTGCATGCCCTCTTCCTAAATGTTCTGTTGAATAGTGTTAAATGACATCTGTTTTCATGATTGATAGCAATCAATAGCATATATGATTGATTTGTAAAATCAATACGACTGCCAATTGAAAGGAAACTCCTACCTCTACAAGAACCCATGAACATTACCTACTTTGTCATCAAACTATTTCAAAACAGTAACAGGAGGTGCTTCAGTCATAACAAACGTTAACACGGCTGTCATAACACGTTTTTATCAAAATGTGGAC